ACCCTCGAGAACATCATGCAACGACTGGAATGGGAAGGAATGGGAGTGAAGATAGATGGTCGGCAACTACACCACCTCTGCTTTGCTGATGACATTGTTTTAATAACACCAAACATCAGCCAAGCGGCACAAATGCTGGCCGACTTTGACCATGAGTGTGGAAAGGTAGGACTATAGCTGAATCTCACGAAGACAATGTTTATGAGAAACAGCCTTGTTCCTGACGCCCCATTTGCTCTCAATGGAACGACCATCTCCAAATGCCACAGCTATGTGTACCTAGGTCGAGAGGTCAACATGACAAATGACCTGGCACCCGAGCTGCGCAGGAGGAAGAGAGCGGCTTGGAACGCCTTCAAGAACGTCGAAGAAATAGCTAAGAGGATGAAGAACCTCCGGCTCCGGGCACATCTCTTTGATTCCACTGTTCTTCCTGCATTAACATATGCCTTAGAGACCTGGGCCCTATGCAAACAGGATGAGAATGTTATTCAGGTCTCCCAAAGAAGAATTGAAAGAGCTATGCTTGGAATATCACGTTTCACTCAAATGAGAGAAAGAATTCGGAGTTCCAACCTCCATCTACGATCAAGAATCAGGGACGCTGTCTCATTTGCCAAGGTGTCAAAAATCAGACGGGCTGGTCACGTAATGAGATTTAAAGACGACCGCTGGACTAGAGCTGTTTCCGACTGGATTCCACTGGATGTCAAAAGACCGCGTGGCCGCCCACCTACCAGATGGTCAGACTTCTTCATCAAGATCATGAACGATCTGTTTGAGGCTCTTCATGTTCCTAGAGTGAACAGATACCATTGGGCTACACTAGCACGTGACAGGACAAATGGAGACGTTACTGGCGCCTGCTCGGGCAAATCGACGACTAATGGGAAGTTAATTGATTAAGTGATTAAGATGTCAAACATGCCTGAAATTCTTATGTGATAACACCTCTTTCCTACTGAATAGTTTATGCAATTCTAGGGAAAATGAGATAAAAGGCATATATCTCCCCATATCCAAAATGTATTACAAAGTTGTAGTAATTTAACATCATTGTACTAGAACAAGAACAGACTATCATATCAGTGGAATTAAAGAAAAATCTCTCTCACATGTAGGACTTAAAGATACACAGAAAAATTGCAACACAGGGCCAAAGGCAACATAATGGGAGAACTACTCCACACAACTGAGTTGGAAAGGAGAATTTGGAAGGAAGTCTTATGGGGTCCTTGGGAGAGGAAGAATGAGAGTATACTGACTGTGGTTTTGGTGTTGGAATTATGTGAATGAGAAACCATTCCATTATTAATAATATTGTAAACAATTTAGTCTCAAAAAATTTTAAAGAAATATATAATAAATATATAAGGCATGTTTACATATAAGTATTTTATACACACAAAAACAAAAATAAATAATAAAAATATCTAAACATTTTACATATATATATATAGAGAGAGAGATCACTGTAGCACTCATTGTCCTTCCCTTGTTCATCGATTTGCTTGAGTGGGTACCAGGAATATATCCATTGTGAGACTTGTTGTTACTGTTTTTGGAATATCGAATATGCCACAGGGAGCTTGGCAGGCTCTGCTGTGTGTGCAGGATATATATATATATATATTTCACATATATATAATAAATATATATACTTTCAGCCTAATTCTCTAGTCTTATGATAAAATTCTGAATCTATTTTTGCTGCTTTGTCATGAAAGTGAGAGTAATTAGTTTTTAATTCTTGCAAGATTGTTAATAATTAGTTATGAAAACCTGAGTGAGTTTTATCATTCAGGTCTTAATCTCCTCAAGGATGAAAATTCAAAGAATACCAACCTTCTGTAAACCACCTTCTTTTCAGATGCAATCAAATACAAGGTGCTAAGAACATCCAACTAATTTTCTTGCATATCAGATTTCTCTCCTGATCCATATTCATCATGTCAAGGCCCATCATTTCTGGATTATTGCTAAATGAGGCTTCACATTTTTTGGTGTAGATCTGACTTGTAAAATTTAAGAAAGATCAAAATTTAAGCCCAGAGGCATATAGGATAGACTGGAGACTAGGAAACTAATTAAGGAATCTAATAAAGATCAATCTCACATTAAAAATCTGTCACTGATGCCCCTCAAAAGCTGGCTTTTGTTGGTCTTTTTGCCCTTGTTTCAAAGGACTCCTCCAGTGCAGCTATGCTTCATCTGAACCACACCTTCATCTCTTTAATGATATATATATCATATATATATTTAATATATATCATATATATATATTCTTCCTATGAGTAAAGCTACACTTATTGATAAACTTAAATTTTCCAATAGTGTTTTTAGGCCAATTTCTTTCACGGATTCAAAAAATTGTCTTCCCAGCTACACACAAACAAATGGAATCAGACCTGCATGCACAAAGATCAGATCAAATGGATTAAACACCTCAACGTCAAACCAAAATCCATAAAGCACATGAAAGAAAATCTAGGCAAAAACCCTCCATAATATTGAAGCTAAGATATCTTCAAAGATGAGACACCTCTGATAAATCAAATGGAAGCAAAGATAAACAAATGGGACTACATTAACCTAAGAAGCTTCTGCATCTCAAAAGAAACAGTGACTAAGATACAAAGACAACCATGGAATGGGAAAGATTATTCACCCAATTCCCTTCTGATAAGGGGTTAATATTAAAGTTATACACTCTATATCTTTCTAACTAGAACTTTATAAGAAAAAACATCCAACCCCATCAAAAAATGGGGAGCAAAAATGAATGAAAACTTCTTCAGAGAAGAAATACAATGGCCAAAAGACACATGAAAAATGCTGTACATTGCTAATCATCAGGAAGATGCAAATCAAAACAATGAAATATAATCTCACACCACATAGATTATCACTCATCTAAAAGAACAAGAACAACCAGTGATGGCACGGTTTGGGGAGAAAGGGACTTCCCTTCATTGTTGGTGGGAATGCCGACTGCTCCAGTGTTTTTGGAAAACAATATGGACATTCCTCAATATACTAGGAATTGAGCTCCCATTTGACCCAGCAATCCTACTTCTGAGAATATACCCTGGAGACCCAAAAATACACAACAGAAACACTATCTGCATTCCTATATTCATTGGACCCATATTCAAAATAGCCAGAATTTTGTGGGGGAAAACTGAGTGCCTGAGAAGAGATGAATGGTCAAAGAAACTATAGTACATCTACACAGTAGTTGGTAAAAATGAATTAATGAAATCTGCCTATAAATGGATGGACATGGAGAGTATCATGTTTAGTAATATGAATCAGAAGGAGAGTACAGATATAGATTCACTGAATTCATTTGTTGTATATAAAAATATATAGTAGAAGACTAATATCCAAGGCCAGGGAAAATAAGGCTAGGAAGATTGGTTAGTGGTTGGAATCTCTACCACAAGTGTGTTGGAGTGGAGAGTTGGTAGCACTGTAGCACTGCATTGTTCACCGATTTGCTGGAGCAGGCACCAGTAACATCTCCATTGTGAGACTTGTTGTTACTGTTTTTGGCATCTCGACTACACCTTAAGGAGCTTGCCAGGCTCTGCCATGAGGGCGGGATACTAACAGTAGCTTGCCGGGCTCTCTGAGAGGAATGGAGGAATCAAACCCGGGTCAGCCACATGCAAGGCAAACACCCTACCCGCTGTACTATCACTCCAGCCTGGAGGGTAGGTGAGATAGAAAAGACCAGTATTACAGTAATAGTTGGAAATGATCAGTGCCGGATGAACACTGAGTGTTAAAAATAGGTAAAGGGATATACACGACAATCTTTCAGTATCTGTATTGCAAACTACAGTGCCCAAAAGAAGAGAGAGAAGGAGAGAGAGAGAGAGAGAGAGAGAGGAAGAGAGAGAGAGAGAAGTGCCTGCCATAGACGCTGGCTGGAGGTGGAGTGGAAGGTGATGGGAGGGAAATTAGGAAATTAGGAATTGGGGACACTTTTGCTGGGAAATGCGCGCACTGGTGAAAGGATGGGTGTTAGAACACTATAACTGAAACCTAATCAGGAACGGCTTCATAAGAGTCCATTTCACAGTGATTCAATTAAAAAAAATTTTTAATTGTCTTCCTCTTAACTTTTATGCAATATAGCATATAAAATAGAAGATATATAATTAAATGTTCTCAACATTAACAGAAGAATATATTCTATTTTATTACTTACTTTACAGATATAAATTAGCACTTGTTGCTGATCTTTGTGCTTTCACAGTACAATGCATTCTTAAAATTTAATTATAATATTTAATATGAATGTTCAATATTAATAATGTTAAAATAATATTTTTGGATCTAGCAATTTCTGATATATGACTATGTCTAACAAAAGTATATGGTGAATTATCACTAAGTACTATAATATATATACAATATGGGCATAGATTTAAATAAATGGTAATAAATAAAAGTTGCCAGGGTAACTTATTCTATTAAGACACAAGTTATTTAGATTTCAGTCACGAAGCAATCAGTGCCAATCTGACCAAATGATTGGCCATGTTATTCTTAATAATAGTAGAGAAGAATTTGGGGGAAAAAGTTTTGTTTTCTCTCTTTTAGATTTTCTTATTGCTACTTGAGCTTAATTTGAATACCTTCTTCAGAGAAAGGCCATAATTAGAGCAGTTTCATGTGGCAAGAGTAAAGTAGTACTGTCACATCCTATCAATCCTCGCAGCAGTCAACTCTAGGAGAATATCCACTGCATTTTGTCCTACCAACTTCAAAAGAGATTTCTCCAAGATATTAATTTCAAGTGATTTTAGTTCCTATCCCCCCTGTCTATATGCCACACCTGAAAAAATAGCCATTATGTTACAAAAAATATATTGTGATCTAGTGTTTATTAATTAGGATGGAGACCACGCTTATACAAATTTTCCAAGAAAACAATGGAAGGGAACATCTGAAAGCAATTTCCCCCCATTCTTTGTTGTTCAGTTACTCACGGCAAATCTTCCAAACCAGAAGCTTCATGTCTTGGATCCAACAGATCATAACCACATTCATTGTAGATTTCCAAGTAGGAAATGTGTGTTGTGTATATTTTGCTGCTGTCCTGATTGGAAAAAGGAAAGCCCTTATTTAATGACTCTAAAAAAATGCACCAGTTTAGAAAAAGATGAACACATCTATCACTGTAGTTTCCTCAAAGCTTCTCTCCTTTTCTCTCTCACTCTACATGGTTTATATTTTCAGTTCGTGACACTTTCAAGTTGCCATTTACCATATGCATGAAACTTGGTTTTTTTTTTTTTTGCTTTTAATGGCCAGCACCCATGATTACAAGCAACGTCAGTTTGTTATTTTTATTGATTCCACATTGTATATACAAAATCAATATATACTAAAAATCAGTCAATTTGGTTGAGGACTTGTAAAACACACCATTACTTACTTTCCATAAAAGGTTACTGAAACATTAACTTTCTTTGTGAATAGGGCTATTCATAAAAGAACAGAGTTGATATCTTGGCTTTAAAACTCTAGTAGCAAAAAAGTTTCTATCTTTAAACATAACTTTCCACTTACTAGTATTCATATTATCTGATGATATACAAAATGAAAAATTAATTTCCTGGGACAGAAATAGTTTATATCAATCAAATAACAAGTGTGGACACAGTTTATTACTTATATCTTACTTGATGAGTGAATTTGCTTGGCACAAACACTAAACTGAGAATGTTCAAATGTTGATTAAAGTGAGGCATTTTATTGTGGGTTTCTGTGAAATGCAGTTATATGAGCACTGATGTAATCAGGATAGAAGCCAAGGTTGCTGACCCTAATCTCAATTCTGCTAACAGCTGAAAAGGACCCACTCCTACGGGGTTAAAATTAAACTTTTGTTTCAGCTTTTGAGAAGATGGTAAGTTCAGTTTTCAATACAAAATATAGAATAATATCGTGTCATCCTTGCTAAGTACAAATGCTTCCATTTCTACAAACAATTTCCTGTTCCTCAAAAGAAGAAAATATGTAGTTCTGTCTGGTGCCCAAAAGATCAGAAAGATGCCAGAATAAATATAAATGGCAGGATTTGCTTAAAATATTTTCCTGATTGATAATAACCCATATCCAAGAGAGTCCATTTAACAGATTTTATTCAAAGTGAGGAGAGAAGTAGTCTGGAAAACCAAAGATGGAATCCTCTCCTCCTTGCTACGATCAGGCCTCAATTTTCACAACCATTGAATTTTTGTAATTAACTCCTTTATATTCAGCAGATTAAAATTAGTATGATTCTCTGATCATCAAAAGGCTCAAACTTTTCAAATAAAGATGTCACCATTTCATAACTGTGCACACACACGCACATGTGTGCGAGAGTGCACACACACACACACACACACACACACACACACATGAAAAACTATGGCTATTCAGCCAGCATATGACTATTATAAAACATATCAGATACAGTTGAAATACTGAATCTTGGAAGGTGACTGGCATAGACAGACCTTTTACAGCAAACTTATCCCAACAAATGCTGATAATCCTGTTGATGTGAGTGACCCTGACTGATCTAAAAATGGCTTATCAATTTAGCATAGTTATGGCACCATTTTAACATCAAATTTTCTGGGTTGTAGCGTGGGTATGTACAGAAGGTATCAGAGACTGTGTGTCTAATGCAGTGTCAGTATACTGCAGTGTTTCCCAAACCATTCCCTGAAATACTCGTAAAAAGAGTTTTCCATGGTCAAAACATAAACTGGTCTTATCTTTATATATGTATAAAGCGATAAGGGATCATTAAACAACTTCTGAAACCCTTTTAAAACAGATTTTAAAGCTTACTTGAATATTTTTTAACTATCCCATTGAGTAAGGCTTGATATTATAGCATGAAGTTTTGAGATCATTAGACAAAACTGTCTTCAAATACTAAGTAAGCCACTTAGAACAGTCATCCTACACAAACACTGAGAAAGGGATAACACATCAGTGGTGCTCAAGGGGAACATGTAGGCACAATGCTTATGATTTACTTTCAGTGATGCACAGAGGTGCTCAGTGCTGAGAATTAAACCTCACTCCAGCCCTCTCAACAGCCCTGAAACTGCACCTTAATTCTTACCACAAAAAATGAGGATTAAAAACTTTATCTTGTAATGGGGGGTGGGAGGGATGCTGGGACCCGTGGTGGTGGAGGATGGGCACTGATGGAGGGAAGGGTGCTTGATCATTGTATGGCTGAAACCCAAGCACAAAAGTTTATAAGTCTATAACTGTACCTCACGGTGTTTCACTAATAAAAAAATTTTTTAAAAATTTATCTTGTAGAATTGGTATAATCCTACCAAATATATGTGGTCCCATAATAGGTACCATGAATTTCTTGATTTTATTACTATTGTGGTTATTATTATTAAAAGTCTCAAATAGGGCATTCAGTATGTGAACATAACTGAAAGAAACAGAAAGATGAAAAGAACAGCCAATTTGTGTGTTTTCAGTGAAGAAATTTGCTTTCTCCAGAAACAAGAAGAATAAAAATTCAGTAAATAGCAGTTCCACTATCTGGAAATGATAAGAATAAAGATTTTGGCTTCTCTGGTTTCTTCATTTTCTGGATTTTTATTAGAATATACACTGAAAATTCACTGAGTTATATGGCAAAGATACCTTCCTCATTACTCTGTTTTGCAGGGTTTAAGATTGCCAGACTATAATGCAACACATATGTTTCCTGCAGACGGCTTTTTCCCTTGCCCCCAAACAAATTAGAAACTAACAATACTCAAAAATAGCAAGCAGCAATTTCTAAAAGAAATCAAGTCATTTTTTAAGTCATTGAAAACATGCTCCTATCACTTTAAGATCCAGTATACACTGGGTTCTTCATATACCTTGAAATAAATACTTTGCATAAGTAAAATGCTTCCTTTATGAATTCTACAGAACCTGATGTGGCTTTCTGAAGCAATCAACTCAGTGTACGTAAATACCTATTCACACTTTTTAACTATCCAACTTAGACGAACTTTAAGATGTACTTCAGGTTGCCTCTGACTAATTTTGTCACAATTTAGTTTCATTATAATGAATGCATTGTGCTCCATCTTGGCTAAATGCTCTTTTGTCCATTTTCAAAGCATTGTCCAAGCTAAATTTGTTCAACAAACCTTCTCTAATTCCAGGAAGTTATGTAGGATGATTCAGAATGATAGGGAGTTTGTAGTAATGCCAAAAACAAGTATTAAAAATTGTCACACAAAATCAAAGATGGCAGGCACTGGGAAATTATAGATTTGTAAAATTGTATTTTGGTAGTCATAGATGAAAATTTTAAATGCCAAATACCAGTTTTATCAGGAAAGAATTTATTTATTCTTCATAATTTAACCAGGGATATTTATGTCATTTGTTCTCAGTTTCACAGAATTTGCTAAAATTGGGATCACAAAAATTGATATGAAAGAAGGAAATAAGGAAGGAAGAAATGAATGAATGAAGAAAAAAGGAAGAAGGAGGGAGTAAGATATAGATGGATTAACAGATATCAATGACTGCAGCAAAACAGTTAAGTTTTAAGCATCTTTTTTGTGCCAGGAACCAGAAAATAGTTTTCAATTATGTTTAATTCTCCCAGCAACTCCATAGTACCTTGGCAATAGTAGGTCATAGTTGCACTAAGAGTTGTAAGAACTATAATTATTTTTTTAGAAGCAGTTATGCCAGCACTAATTGGTCTTTCTAGGACAATAGACTTCCACATAGACTTCCACAACAACATAAACAATTAGAAGTCATATTCCCATTTTGTAAAATAAAGTAAAGGCCCTCCCGTTGATCGTCGATTTGCTCGAGCGGGCCCAGTAACGTCTCCATTGGAGACTTTGTTGTTACTGTGTCTGGCATATCGAATACTCTCGGTAGCTTGCCGGGCTCTCCGAGAGGGGCGGAGGAATCGAACTCGGGTCGGCCATGTTGGCCGCTTGTAAGGCGAACGCCCTACCCGCTGTGCTATCGCTCCACCCAAAAATATGGGAATGAAATAGCTAATGTCAGAAATAAAAGAGTAAATAAAATAACGGGATTTGGTTCTACATGTATACAATATGCAAACTGTTTCCTCCCATATTTTCTGGCATGCAGACTTGGAATGTTTAATCTAGTAAGAGATGAGCTTAACTAATGGATAATTGCCACTTTATGGATGGAAATTAGAATTATGCAGATGCAGATCCAGGCGATTTCATCTCATTTTTGCAACTCAAAGTACAAATGACCTACAGTCAGAAATTTTGGCATAACTGTTATACTTACCTAGTTAAAACATTTGCAAAATGAATAAAATCAAGCAACAGTTGGAACTAGTAGGAATCTAACGGTCCAGTGCAACTTCATCCAACTTTAAAGAAGGGATGAATTGAAACCCAGAGAAACAAAGTACTTAATGGAGAATTTTTCTTTAATACAACCCAGCTGACCTGAGTTCAATTCCTCCACCCCTCTCGGAGAGCCCAGCAAGCTACAGAGAGTATCTTGCCTGCACGGCAAAGCCTGGCAAGCTCCCCGGGATGTATTCTATATGCCAAACACAGTAACAACAAGTCTCACAATGGAGACCTTACTGGGCCCGCTCGAGCAAATGGATGAATGGATGAACGTGAGGTCAGTGCAGTGCAGTGCTACAACCAACAAAATTAAGTCTGTCTCAGACACTGAGGCAGCACATGTAGGTATCGGGAACCTGTTATCTATTCCTTTACCTTCTATGGGTATATCAGAAAGAATTCTCTTTCAGTCTTTGCTTATATGCTATTTTCTTTAATGACAAGCACCTCTTTAATCTCTACTTTTTTAGCAGAATGGCATATTTTCCTTAAGTAGAAACTCCAGAGGTTTTTGACAATGAAATGCACTCAATTAGATATAAGTGTCAATATCCTGCCCCCACACCAGGCTGTCTTCACGGGGCCCCCTAGGAGGGGGACTGTGGGTTGAGCTTCCCTCTCTGCCCGAAGAAGAACCCTGGCAGTCAAAAACCTCCAGAACCCAGGCACTACCATGCTCAAGGCCACTCTCCACATGCTCGGAAGCCTCACCCATGAAGGAACCAGAGGAACCCAGGTATGCGGGACCTGTGGCTGAGATCTCCAAGCCTGCTCTGATTGGGACTGGGCCTCCTCCACCCAGATCCACCGTTTTCCAGTAGTTTGGCAGCCACACCCACAAACTGCCCCCAGCACCATGTAATCTCATCAACAACCAAGATCCAGAGACTATAAAACAATGCTCCTGGAAGAGAGGAACACAGTTTTTCCTGGAGCCTCTGTCCCCCTCAGAGAGCCTGGCAAGCTACCTATGGCGTATTAGATATGCCAAAAATAGTAACAATAAGGTTACTGTTTTTCCCTGACCCTGAAAGAGCCTCCAATACAGCAGCATTGGGAAGGACGAGTAAGAAGAGGCTGCTAAAATCTCAGGGCTGGGACGAATGGAGATGTTACTGGAGCCCGCTTGAGCAAATCGATGAACAACGGAATGACAATGGTGATACAAAGATACAGAGAAGTGTCAATAGATATTTGACCAAGAAAATAAAATGTATGCTCTATCTATACAACATAAAATGGAATTAAAGGTTTATACCTTTTGTAATTGCTCAAAAATGTATGACAGTGTCCTTGGGATAATGCCTCTGTCACTGTAGCGCTCTGCCCCTCCGGTGATGGTGAATGTTTTTCCACTGCCTGTCTGCCCATATGCAAAGATGGTGCCATTGTAACCCGCCAGGACACTGTGAAAAGAAATGTCATGCTTTTAATACCAAAGGCTTACAATAGCTATATTAATATATGCACTCTAATAGAAACCTTAATCAACATTATTGAAAAATTAGAGTTGTATCTATAGAAATATTATCTAGTTAGAATTTTATTTTTTGTCCAGGAAAATTAGCACATAAAACAATTTTTTTCAGAAATCACTTCGGATTAAACATGAGATGGCCCTAATTTTTTAAAATAATTTCTTAATTAATGAGTCACCATGAGTTACAGTTACCGACTTACAAATTTTGTGCTCGAGTTTCAGTCATACAATGATCAAGTACCCAAAGATGGCCCTCTTACGAATTTCATTCAGTATTCACCGTAGCACTGTCCTCCCATTGTTCATTAATTTGCTCAAACAGGCACCAGTAACGTCTCCATTGTGTGACTTGTTGTTACTACTTTTGGCATATCGAATACGCCATGGGGAGTTTGCCAGGCTCTGGCATGTGAGCAGGATACTCTCAGTAGTTTGTCGGGCTCTCTGAGAGGGATGGAGGAATCAAACCTGGGTCGGACACATGCAAGGCAAATGCCCTACTCGCTGTGCTATCACTCCAGCCCACATTCCTCCATCCTTATTCAGTATAGAGTTGGGAAACAAAAATAAATAGGATTACATCAAACTCAAATGTTTTTACATGTCAAAAGAAACTCAAGATGAAATTTAACGATAACCTACTGAGTGGTATAAAATATGTGTACACCCTGCACCACATTAAGGGCTAGTATCCAAGGTATATAATTTTCTTGCAAAGTTTAACATCAGAAAATGGGGAGATGTCTTCAAACTGTACTACAAAGCCATAGTAATTTAAACATCATTGAATTGGTATAAAAGCAGATCTGCAGATCAATGGAATAGAGTTGAATATCCTGACACAGACTCTCAAATATATGATCACTTCATCTTTGATAAAGGAGCAAGAAATACGAAGTGGAGCAAGGAAAGTGTCAAGTGGTCCTAGGAAAACTAGGAAGCTACATGCCAAGAAATGAACTCAGACCCCTTTCTGATGCCAGGCACAAAAGGCAGATCAAAATGGATTAAAGACCTCATTATCAGACTGAATTCATAAGGTACAAGGAGAAAAATGTAGACAGAACCCTCTATGACACTGAAGCTAAAGGCATCTTCAAAGATTAAACTGACCAAGCAAATTGAAACAAAGATTAAACAAATAGAACCACATAAAATTAAGAAGCTTCTGCACCTCAAAAGAAATGATGACCAAGAAACAAGACAGCCCATGGAATGGAAAAAAAAATATAGCACAGTGGTAGGGCATTTGCCTTGCATGCAGCCAACATGGCCGACCCAAGTTCGATTCCTCCGCCCCTCTCGGAGAGCCCGGCAAGCTACCGAGAGTATATCTCGCCCGCACGGCAGAGCCTGGCAAGCTCCCCGTGACGTATTCGATATGCCAAACACAGTAACAACAAAGTCTCCAATGGAGATGTTACTGGGCCCGCTCGAGCAAATCGATGATCAACGGGAGGGCCTTTACCTTTACCTTTACCCAATACTCATATGATAAGGGGTTAATATCCATGATATATAAGGCACTGGTAAAACTTAACAAGAAAAAAAATCCAACTCTATCTAAAAGTGGGAAGAAGAAATGAACAGAAAGTTCCTCAAAGAAGAACAAATGACCAAAAGGCACATGACAAAATTATCTACAACACTAATCATCAAGGAGATCAAATCAAAACCAACAATGAGATATCATCTCACACCACAGAGACAGCACACATACTTTTCAATGAATGTTTTTCTGTTCTGGGAGTTAATGCCCCCAAAAAGTGGAATTGGTAGGTTATATGGCAGCTCAAATTTAAGTTTACTGAGAACCCTCCATAATGTTTTCCACGGGATTTAAACCATACAACATTCCTACCAATAGTGGATAAGAGTCTTTTTTCACCATGTTCCTGCCAACAGATTGTACCCATTTTTTTCTATTTTGCTTAATACTTTTATTATTCTTACAATAACAGGGATCAAACCCAGAGCCTCATACATTCGAGACATTGGCTTTTGTGTTGGGCTATTTTCCAGTCGTTAGTTTGCTACTGCTTTTATATAGAAACAAAACAAAACATTTCCAGAATATATTAGCTTTCGTCTATTAAAAGTAAAATAAAAATTATTTATTTATTATATGTCATGAGAATCTTTCTCAACATTGGCATATGGTTAGGCTGTTGAAGAGTCTGTCTTACAACTTTGCATTAGTTGGTGAATCATGGATGAACCATAAAAAATGAGAAAGGTTCTTAATCACAAAAACCTTGATCATAACCATTTAATATTTTAAAAACTAATTTATTTTAATGTAGACAAAACCCAAAATAGTAGGGGGCTGGAGGATCAGAGCCACAGGGGGATTGAGCAGAAGAGTATGGCGGCATTGAACCCAGGGAGATACCAGAACAGTATGGCAGACTTTTGGGTGCAGGGAGATACTCTCTTCTAATAGTTACCACCAGGAACCAGCCGTGTATTTCTTCACTACTCCATAATTCATCCGAAACATACAAAGACATCCTAACTTAGTCTTCAAACCACACAAAAACACACAGGAAACAACTCCAAAGTGCAAAAGTCACAATGGTGAAGCAACGCAGAAGCCCACCAGGATTAGAGGGTGAAGAACCTCTCCCAGTTGACCCAACCAGTAATAAGTTATATCACCTTTATGATAAGGAATTTAGAATGGAACTGTTAAGGATGAATAAGGAGCTCAAAGAAACAATGAAATCACCGCTAATTAAATACAGGAGGATATGGGGGCAGAAGTGAGGAAAATGCAAACAAAAATACAAGCAGAAATGACAGATCTAAAATACCTGGTAGGTGAAATGAAAAACTCACTGGAAGGTATCAGAAACAAAGTAGTATTTGCTGAGGACAGAATCAGTGAGCTTCAAGATGAGGTGCAGAAAATTTCAAGTTTACAGTAGAAGACAGAAAAGAGCCTCAAAATAAACCAAAGTTGACAAGAGAACGCCAGGATGAAGTCATGAGGAATATAAGGATCACTGGAGTACCGGAGGGTAAGGAAGAAAACCCTGAAGAAGAAGTGACTGTCAAAGCTATTATTGCTGAGAAATTCCTTGAGCTGAAAAGTGCAAGCACCCAGATCCAGGAGGCCTGAAGGGTACCAGCTAAAAGAAATCCACATAAAAATACCCCAAGACAAATACTAATCAGAATGACAAAAACCATGTACAGAGATAGAATATTGAAAGCAGCAAGATCAAAGAAGTAAATTGCTTATAAAGAAACATCCTCAAGATCCACAGCAGACTTATCAGATGAAACATTCTAGGCCCAAAGACAGTAGCAGTATACAGTGAAAAATTCAATGAAATAAATGCCTCACCAAGAATACTTTACCCAGCCAAACTATCATTCGGATTTGAAAGAACAATACACAACTTCAAAGATAAACAAAATCAGAAAACTTTATAGGCTCAAAACCATTGTTACAGGAAAAATTAAACAGGCTACTTTAAGACAAGCCCCACAAGTACATCAAATTCCTACAAAAAGATGGCACAAATCTTCATCACAATAATCTCTCTCAAAATCAATGGATTAAATGCATCAATCAAGAGGCACTGAGTGGCAGGATGGATTAGAAAATTAAACCCCACATTCTGCTGTCTGCAAGAAACACATCTGTACAATCAAAGCAATTCCAGACTCAGAGTCAAAGGCTGGCAAACAATTCTCCAAGCAACTCCCTCAAAAAAGCTGGGGTGGCAATACTAGTATTGAACCACATAAACTTCAAGTTGAAGATTATAAGAGACAGTGAAGGTCATTTATTAATGAGAAAGGGATCGTACATCAGAAAGAACTCACAATCCTAAATGTATATGCATCTAATGAGGGACCAGCAAGATACTTAAAACAACTACTAATAGACCTGAAGAAATATTGAAAACAGCACAATAGTAGTTGGAGATTTCAACATTGTTCTGTCACCTCTCGATAGATCAACCAGACTAAAACTCAGCAGGAAAATACTTTATTTGAGGAAAGAAACATAAGAGATGCATTATAAGATAGATATAAGAATTCCATCCCCCAAAAGTTGAGACAGAAGCAGTCATCAAAGCCCTACCCAAACAGGGCGTTCAAACTCAATACATCAGGATCCTCTGTGAGCTGTATTACAGATTCACTACCAGGATCTCACATTCTACAGAGAAGTGATCACTGATGTCAAGAGAGGGGTTCAGCAGAATGATACCATTTCACCGAAACTCTTCAGTGCCACCCTTGAGAATGTCATGTGAGGACTAGAATGGGAAGCAATAGGAGTGAAGATAGAGGGTCAGCAACTACACCACCTTGGCTTTGCTGATGGCATCATTCTAATAATACCAAACATTAGCCAAGCGGCACAAATACTGGCTGACTTCGACCATGAGTGTGGAAAGGTCAGACTACAGCTGAATCTAACAAAGACAATGTTTATGAGAAATGGTCTTGTTCCTGACATTCCATTCACTCTCAACGGGACAAACAACTCTGAATGCAACAGTAATGTGTACCTAGGTTGAGAAGTCAACATGACGAATGACCTGGCACCTGAGTTGCGTAGGAGGAAGAGAGCAGCTTGGAATGCCTTCAAGAGTGTCAAAAAAATAGCTAAGAGGATGAAGAATCTCTGGCTCTGGGCACATCTCTTCGATCCCACTGTTCTTCCTGCATTAACATACGCCTCAGAGAACTAGGCCCTACGCAAACAGGATGAGGATGCTATTAGGGTCTCCCAAAAAGGAATCGAAAGACCTATGCTTGGAGTATCATGCTTCACTCAAATGAGAGAAAGAATCCGGAGTTCCGACCTCCGTTGATGATCAAGAATCAGGGATGCTGTCTCGTTTGCCAAGGTGTCGAAAATCAGATGGACTGGACACATAATGAGATTTGGAGATGACCGCTGAA